TTCCGTTGCCGAAACCAAAAGTGATTCTTACCAGATGGCGGACAAGGCATCTGCCATGATGGCTGTGACAGGTAGTGATGGTAAGGCACTAATTACCTCTACTTCTGTTACGAATAATACATGGATAATTGATTCCGGAGCTACTGAACATATGACTTGTGATTCTAAACAGGTTCCATCACTAAAAACCTCCACACAAACTGTAGTCAATGTTGCTAATGGTAATGTCGTCCCTATTATTGGGGAAGGCACTGTTTCCCTTTCTGATACCATGAAACTTGACATTATTCTTGTGGTTCCCTCTCTAAATTATAATTTGTTATCCGTTGCCCAAATAACCCTTGCCTTACACTATTTGGTTGTTTTTTAGCCCTATTTTTGTGTTTTTAAGGACATCCAGACGCAGAAGACGATTGGTTATGGTATTAGACGAGGGAAGCTTTATTACCTGGAGTTGACAACCAGTAGTTTTGGCTTGCTGACTCAAGCTCTTTTCGTTGCTGATTCTCAAGGGGATAATAATAAAGTGTAGGACATCTGGATGTAGCACCGGTGCCTTGGGCATGCTTCTTTTGGTTATCTACATAAGTTATTTCCTAGTTTGTTTGTCAAGAATGATGTTTCTCAGTTTAAGTGTGATGTTTTTGAAATGGCTAAGAGCCATCGAACTTCCTTTCCTCCCAGTTTAAATAAAAGTTCGGTTCCTTTTATGGTTGTGCATTCTGATATATGGGGTCCGTCAAAAATAGCTACTCTTGATGGTGCTCACTAGTTTGTCACTTTTATTGACGATTGTACAAGAATGACTTGGGTTAGTTTGTTAAAGTCGAAAAGTGAAGTTAGTTCGGCCTTTCAAAAGTTCCATAAAATGGTTGTTGTGCAGTACAACATGAATATCCAGGTTCTTAGAAATGACAATGACGGCGAATATGTTAATTTGGAACTTCGTTCCTTCCTTAAACTGCATGGTATTGTTCATCAGACCACATGCCCGTATACTCCTCAACAGAATGGGGTGGTTGAACGCAAAAATAGACACTTGTTAGAGATGGTTCGTGCTTCGCTCATTGAGGCACATCTGCCTTTACATTATTGGGGTGAAGCACTTACGTCTGCAGCCTATCTTATTAATCGTCTTCCTTCTCGTACTATCAACTTCCATACGCCATTTTAGACTCTCATGTCTTATACGAGATGTCCACTGACTCTAAATCTCCCCCCTCAGGTCTTAGGGTGTGTTGCTTTTGTTCACCTTCATCCTCCTTAACGGAACAATAAACTTGAGCCTCGAGCCCTCCGTTGTGTGTTTTTGGGTTATGCCACTACTCAAAAATGATATCGTTGCTATCATCCTTCAAGTAGGAAAATGTTTATCACTCAGGATATGATTTTCCATGAGCAGGACATGTTTCTTTGATCATCCGAGTCCTCACTTCAAGGGGAGTACTGAGACAATGAAGTTCTGACTCTTGATTATTTTCCCGTGGCTAGCAATGAGCTGCACAAAGAGCAGCAATGGCAGTCTTCACATTTGGAGCCCACGACACATGAAGAGCAACATCGCACAATTGTAAGTGATCAATAGCAACCAGCAAATCAGCATATTGTCCAGCCCACGCGTCCCACGGGTGTTGGCTTGAAAGGTATATGCAGAACCAGCCCTCGGGTCATACGGGCTTTGGGCTTGAAAGTGGGCTGCAGCCCACTGTTTTCGATGGAATCGAGCCACAACAACACACTAATGTCAATAGCACCGAGTAGCAACTATCACAGAATGCTTCTCCGGATGTTATATCAGGTCAAAGTATGAACTCGTCGTCTGTTAATTCTTATAACCAATCGTCTTTTACACCGGATACACCTCCACTTCGCCGCCTTCCTGAGCGTATTAACCGAGGTATTCCTAAATCTACTTATGAAACAGAGCCTAAGTGTAAACATAAGTATTCCGTAAGTGAACCAAATTCATATTCAAGAGTGAGATATCCATTAAATAATTATGTGTCTACTTGTCACCTATCAGAATCAAATAAGTCATTTGTACATCAATTATCTACTGTATCTATTCCTAACAGTATGCAGGAGACCTTAGCAGGTTCCGGTTGGAAAGATGCCATGAACGAGGAATTGAGATTGTTGAAGAAGAATGCTACTTGGGAAATTACTGACTTACCAGCTGGAAAGAAATCTGTGGGATGTAAATGGGTTTATACAGTGAAATACAAAGCAGATGGAATGGTGGATCGCTTTAAAGCAAGATTGGTGGCAAAAGTATATACATAGAAATATGGCATCGACTACACTGATACGTTCACACCAGTGGCAAAGATCAATACAGTCCGTGTTCTACTGTCCATCGTAGCAAATCTATATTGGCCTTTGCAACAGTTTGACGTAAAAAATTCATTCCTCCATGGAGATCTAACCGAGGAGATTTACATGGACCTTCCACCAGGGTGTAATGATCCGGACATACGGAAACAAAAGGTATGTAGGCTTAGGAAATCATTGTATGAGTTAAAACAGTCTCCGAGAGCTTGGTTTGGTAGATTTACCAAGTCCATGAGAACATTCGGTTATAGGCAAAGTAATTGGGATCACACGTTATTCCTGAAATGCCAGAACGGTAAGGTTACAACTCTCATTGTATATGTGGATAACATGGTGGTGACTAGTAACGACCCTGGTAAGCAAGCAGCCTTGAAAAAGTATTTGTCCGCGGAATATGAAATGAAAGATCTGGGTTCGTTAAAATATTTCCTTGGGATTGAAGTGTTAAGATGCAAGTCTGGGATATTTCTATCACAAAGGAAGTATGTTCTTGACCTGGAAGAAACCGGTATGTCGGCATGTAAGCTGGTAGCTACTCCGTTGGCTGAAGGAGTGAAGTTGGGTATCGATCAGAACTAAGTACCGGTTGATAAAAGGAGATACCAAAGGTTAGTAGGAAGATTAATGTACTTGGCCCATACTAGGCCAGATCTTGCTCATGCATTAAGTGTAGTTAGTCAATATATGCATAATCCAGGAGAACAACACATGAGTGTCGTTATGAGAATATTAAGTTACTTGAAAGGAAGCCCTGGTAAAGGAATTTTGTTTCGGAAAAATGGGCATTTCAGAATTGAGTGCTATACAGATGCAGACTGGGCAGGATCGACGGATGATAGGCGCTCAACATCGGGGTATTTCACCTTTGTTGGGGGAAATCTAGTAACATGGAGAAGCAAGAAGCAGAATGTCGTAGCAAGGTCAAGCACGGAAGCCGAATTTAGAGGTATGGCACTTGGTATTTGTGAAATCTTATGGCTTAAGTTTATGTTAGAAGACTTGGGGGTTAAACATGGTCAGCCGATGAAGTTATTTTGTGACAATAAAGCTGCTCGTGATATCGCTCATAATCCAGTGCAACATGATCGAACCAAGCATGTAGAGGTTGACAGGTTCTTTATTAAAGAGAAGCTGGAAAGCAAAATAATTGAGGTTCCTCCCATAGGAACGGAAGACCAAGTAGCAGATATTCTCACTAAGGCGGTTTCAAGTGACAAGTTTTCGAGGTTTCTAGACAAGTTGGGCATGTGCAACATCTATGCACCAAATTGAGGGGGAGTGTTGACTTGTATTAGGATTCCTACAATTGTGGGATTCCTACCATATTTGGTTTCCTAGTTTAGGATTTAATTATTCTTTCCTTTATTGTGATAGGATTGTATATGGTTGTGTATATACCTTTGAATGAGATGAATACAAAATCATTGAAAAGCATTCTTTCTTCTAATTTAGTCTTAACCAAGATTTTTTCAAGAATAAGAAAAAACCTAAAAATTTCTCAAATGCACCCAAAATTTGAAGGTGCTTTAATCCAACTTACCATGAAATTACAGCCACTTGAGAAACCTTCTCCAAATGAGGACGAATAGGCAACACAGAGTGCGTTTCTCTGAAAATTAGTAAAGAAAACTGGAATCGGCGCAGCAAATGGAAGACCGGTGAAGCAAACAGAGAAGGTCAGGTTTGTGAGAGAAACAAATGGAAACCAAAGGAAAATCCTAAAGATCCAATCGAACCCAAACATTCGAAGATGACTGACGCATGGAAAGACGATGGACGATGAAGCTTGATTGATGACCAACAAGTGGGCAGCGGGGACAAAAGCTTCATTGGGGAGCGAAAAGCAGCTGGAAGGCACTCTCGACATCATGTGTTAAGGATGCCCAACACGCGTCAACCATGGGTAAAATCGCCAATTCACTGCATGATTTTTGAGAAGTGGTTAAAACCGTGAAGAAAATGAGAGTCCAAACGGGAAGCGCACTGTTAATAAACAGTAATCTTCGCTGAGTTTTAGAAGAGAGTAATTTATCCATATTAACAAGAGCTCAATAGATTTTCCTGGTATACCAAAGTACTCGGATCTATCAAAAAACTACAAACTAGTGCCATTCCATGCACATTTGGCAGCTTCATTCTCTTTACATTTGGAAGAGGTCAACCCAACTATTTTTTTTTTTTTTTACAAGACATGTAAACTAGTTACGTCTAGTATGGCATTTTAATTTATTATTATTATTATTAGCTTTACTCCTTTACTAGACACGTCAACAGATCGAATTTTATAGCTAACACGATATGTATTTAAACATCTAATTTGATTATCTGAATAAGATTTGTGAGTAATCCGATTATGAATAATCTCAAATAATAAGGCTGACTCGATTTGACCTAATGTCATATTATGATTCATGTGCCATTTGTCTTAAATATATATATAGATGATAATTAACACCTCAAAGTGCGCATGACATGTTCCACATTAAAACCACTACCTCTATATAGAAATTATTACAAAAGCACAAATGATGATGAAATCGCTGATCGAACAAATACATATTCATTTTGACCTGCCTCGAAAATTCGAAAAAAAAAACTAATACCATATCTATCAGGAACTATATGATCCAAATACAGAATAAAAACAAGAAGATTGGTTAACCAATTTGTCATTTTCTTGAAGAAAGAAGCACCTGGTTAATCAATTTGTCCAAGGCCAAGAAAGACAACCCATTCGGACAAGTAGTTGCCTCCTTTGCCAACTTCTTCCACTCTAAGGCATTCTTCTTCATCTCTTTGCCCTCCCCTCCCTCCGTTAACTTTCTCACAAGTCCCTCTACATAATCTCTTTTAACATCATCCCCTAACTCGAATCCAATGCCCCACTCTTTGCAACTGTACCTACAATTGGTTGGTTGCTCTCCACAGAAAGACCAACAAATCATAGGCACTCCACCACACACACTTTCAAGAGTAGAGTTCCATCCGCTGTGCGTCAAAAACCCTCCTATAGCCGGGTGGCTCAAAACTTGTTCTTGAGGACACCAACTTGCCAATAGACTCCTCTCTTTGGTCTCTTCTAAAAACTCAGCTGGGATCACAGATGATTCCCCCCTAACGAGGTCAGGCCTAATAACCCACAAAAAGGTCTTGTTGCTATTTGCAATTCCCCAAGCAAACTCAACTAGCTGCTCTCTTGTCGTGATTGCGATGCTTCCGAAATTGACATTGTTTGTACCATACTTGACCAATCCCGAAACTACCGAGCACCGGCCAACGCTATACTGTCAAGGACCCAGAAGAGTTCCCCTCCGACCAGGAGGCCAATCACTACTCGACACGTGTCAAGATTAGAAGCCAATCAGAGCGCAGCACGTGTCGACATCAAGAACCAATCATAACATGACACATGTCAATGTGACAAAGCTACAAGTTTTTCTATAAATAGGGGTCATTCCCCCACAATATTGCCTAATGCCATTTGTGTTAAATCATTCACAAGAACTCACTAAATTGAGAGCTTGATCCTTTGTACTTGTGTAAGCCCTTCACTACTAATAAGAACTCCTCTACTCCGTGGACGTAGCCAATCTGGGTGAACCACGTACATCCTGTGTTTACTTCTCTGTCTCTATTCATTTACGTACTTATCCTCACTAGTGACCGAAGCAACCAAGCGAAGGTCATAAAACCTGACACTTTCTGTTGTACCAAAGTCTTCGCTGATTTTGTGCATCAACATTTGGCGCCGTCTGTGGGAAACGACACTTATTCCTACTCTCTTCAGCTGTGTCAAGCTGGTTTCTATCATTCGTACACTTTCTTTTGATCAGGCATCCCTCTCCAGCATGGGAAGCGAAGGAAGCCACAGCACACAGAATGACACCCCCCTTGCACATAGTGCGAAACAACGAAAGAAGGAAGGAACTTCTTCAAGCTAAAGTCGATGAGTTGGAAGCTCAGAACAACAAGATAGCAATGAGGAATGAGGTCCTCCAGGAGCAATATGAGAAGCTCTTCGAGACACTTCACGAAGCTAGGCAAGCTCAGACACGCGAGCTTGTTGCCCCCGTGGAAGTTAACCATCAACTGGGTGCCCTCCAACATGGAGGGTCACATGCATTCGACATAGATATCCCTGATAGGGAACAAATTACCCCTCGATTTGATAATCAACATGAGGCTTCTCTTAACCCAGTTGCTTCGACCCGAACCATGAGAAGCGGAGGGAGACACCTCTTTGCTGAAGGGGCAGAAGGATCGAAAGCCGTCTTTCGCGATTGTCGGGATTTCCTGAAGCAACGTCGAGAGAATTCCATCCATATAAGCTCAAAGATCAATGACCCAAGGATTTCTGAGAGACTCGGTCCCCTGCCACGGCCCGAGCCGGCCACCAACTTGGGGAAGGTGCAACAAGTCCTAGAGAGACATGAGGGTACAGGGGACTCAGAGGTGTTCCGACAGACATACCCTGGAAGCCAGTACAGCGAGTCCAGGGAAAAATCACATGCCCTTGATCAAACCTTCCTAATTCCAAGAGGAGATGGAGATTTACGAAAGAAAGCTCCAGTGGCACATAACTCCGCTCATGACCCCCTTGTCCTACAACTTCTTGAGGAAGTAAACAAGTTGAAGGCTGAACGTCAGGCTGAAATACCTGACTGGAACCAACCCAGGCCTGGCCCTCTTACAAGGAGGATCCTCAACACCCCCCTTCAAGCAAAGACAAAGCAGAAGCTTGGCTTGCAACTTTATACTGGAAAAGAGGACCCGATTGAGCACCTTAACCTCTTTGAGTCCACCATGGCATACCGGATGCACACCGACGAAGAGCGATGTCTTCTCTTCCCCTCCACCCTCTCTGGCGGAGCTCTAAATTGGTATTGTCGTCTTACACCTGAGACGGTAGACTCATTTGAGGAATTGAGGAAACTATTTGTTTCCCAACACATTTTCCAAACCGATCGCTTGCACTCTGCAGATGACCTATACACTATCTGCCAGAAGCCAGACGAGTCATTACGTATGTATGCTGGCCGCTTCAGCCATGAATACTCCCGGTGTGCCGAGACAGACGACAAGACTGCCCTCAAAGCCTTCACGGCAGGCCTACGTGATTGTTTCTTTAAATACATGATCAATGCCAATACTTGGAAGACTTACTCTGAGGTGATGGCGCAGGCTTATAACCATGCCTCCGCCGAGGCAAAGACATATCAGGAGAAACCCCCTCACCCAACGCCATGGAGGAAGAACTAGCAATAGCTAAAGTTCGACGGTTGGGAAGATCATCCAATGTTTCTCTAGTACAGGACTCTAACAAAGACCCTGAAGACTCCGACATTGCAGACTCAGACTTAGAGCTAAAGCTAGAAGAGCCCTCATCACTAGAACTTCCAGGCTCTGACATCTACAATAAGAAGAAACAAATTCTATCACTACATGCATGATCAAAACATAAGGAAGTTCCTATATTACCCACAGGAAGATGGTGCAAAGCGATGCCGGAACCCTTCTCAATCAGAAAGCAATCCGTCTTCCACAGTCACTACAAAACAAGCAAATGAAGACCGTGTCAAGCGCCAAAAAAAAAAAAAAAAAAAAAAAAAAACAGCTTCATCCAAAAAGCTTCACCCGAAAAGCTTCACCTCCAAAACTTCACCCAAAAAGCTTCATCCAAAAAGTTTCACCCAAAAAGCTTCACCTAAAAAAGCTTCACCCAAAAAAAAAAAACTTCACCTCCAAAAAGCTTCACCCACAAAGCTTCACCTAAACAGCTTCATCCAAAAAGCTTCACCCGAAAAGCTTCACCTCCAAAACTTCACCCAAAAAGCTTCATCCAAAAAGTTTCACCCAAAAAGCTTCACCTAAAAAAGCTTCACCCAAAAAAAAAACTTCACCTCCAAAAAGCTTCACCCAAACAGCTTCACCTAAAAAAGCTTCACCCACAAAGCTTCACCTAAACAGCTTCATCCAAAAAGCTTCACCCGAAAAGGTTCACCTCCAAAACTTCACCCAAAAAGCTTCATCCAAAAAGTTTCACCCAAAAAGCTTCACCTAAAAAAGCTTCACCCAAAAAAAACTTCACCTCCAAAAAGCTTCACCCAAACAGCTTCACCTAAAAAAGCTTTACCCACAAAGCTTCACCTAAAAAGCTTCACCCAAAAAAACTTCACCCGAAAAGCTTCACTTAAAAAAGCTTCACCTACAAAGCTTCACCTAAAAAAGCTTCACCTACAAAGCTTCAACACAAAACCTTGCTCCAAATAAACAAATTTTGTTCACAAAACCCAAGATGCCCTTGAACTTGTACAAAAACACTTGGGTAAACATAAACATTTTTTGTTTTACACCCACAAGGGCCCAAAATTTTCCTTCTTATTTATTCACTTATATATGTTCCCAAACATATTATAATAGATCCAACAACAAGCCAAAGTCCCAAGTTTCATAATGGACAAAAGTACAAGCAATTCATCAATAATGAAGGTGCTACAAAACTTGGAATCTGCCCCAAAATAGAAATCCAACCCAAGAGACTTTTTCTCTCTCTCCCTCTTCCGCCTCCTTTCATCTATCAAATTTCTGCAACCTCTGCTCTTCTCCAATGGAGCTGAATTTTGGACACCCTATAGTTTTTGAGCATATGAACAACTTTCAAGAAGGAACCATTTCTGTTTGAGCGACGGAAATTAAAGTGTTGAAGCTCCAAACATGACAGTCGGATTCTTGCAGATTTCGAAGCTGCTGTGATGTTTCGAAGATCTGGAAATATTTAACCATTAGTTCATTCTGAATTTTTGATATGTTATGAAAGAGACGATGAGGAACAACTTCAATGAAGAAAGCAAGCTGATCTGAACAATAGAAAATGGAGTTTCGAAGCTCACAACAAATCTGACGGGTTGACAGAAAAATAATAACCAGTCATTCATCATACCTGAATTTCTTGAGTTATACAGCTCCGAGGGATCTCAAATTTGGATATGTTGTAGTTCACAAGCTGAGGAACAACTTCAATGAAGAAAGCATGCTGATCTGAGCAAGAGAAAATAGAGTTTCAAAGCTCACAACAAATCTGACGGGTTGACAGAAAAATCATAACCAGTCATTCATCATACCTGAATTTCTTGAGTTATACAGCTCCGAGGGATCTCAAATTTGGATATGTTGTAGTTCACAAGCTGAGGAACAACTTCAATGAAGAAAGCATGCTGATCTGAGCAAGAGAAAATAGAGTTTCAAAGCTCACAACAAATCTGACGGGTTGACAGAAAAAATCATAACCAGTCATTCATCATACCTGCATTTCTTGAGTTATACAGCTCCGAGGGATCTCAATTTTGGATATGTTGTAGTTCACAAGTTAAGGAACAACTTCGATGAAGAAAGTATGTTGATCTGAGCAAGAGAAAATGGAGTTTCGAAGCTCACAACAAGTCTGACAGGTTGACAGAAAAATGATGAACAGTCACTCATCATACCTGAATTTCTGGATTTGTACTGCTCCGATGGATCTCAAATTTGGATATGTTGTAGCTGACAAGGTGAGGAACAACTTCGATGAAGAAAGTATGTTGAGATGAACAAGAAAAAATGGAGTTTAGAAGCTCACAACAAGTCTGACGGGTTAACAGAAAATTGATGAACAGTTACTCATCATACCTGAATTTCTGGAGTTGTACTACTCCGATGGATCTCAAATTTGGAGATGTTGTAGTTCACAAGATAAGGAACAACTTTCATGAAGACGACTTTGCGATCTGAGCTATAGAGAATGGTGTTATCTTGCATCCACTCAGGCTGATTAGTGGAAACGAAAAGCAATTCCACCAAAGAAAAGATGAAAAAGAGAGAAAAGCTACTAATTGCACTTAATCTTGTCTAGTCAATAGCATGCAGCATCAAACACACAAAAGTTGGAAATATTTTTAGATAAGGCATATGCGAATGTGTGACATCGAAACAAGGATTCGTTACTTTGACAAATTAGTAACAAGCGAGACACCTCATTCGGCAACTCTCTTCGCCTGAAGACTTGGGGGACTCCCACCATATGATACTCGGCAGTCTCACAACCACTCAGTGACTTGGATTTTTCAAGTCTCCAACCGAGAAGTTTTCCTCACTCGGGAAATTAAGGGAACACTACCTCAAACTACATGCTTCACTCACAAAGCTTCAACAATACAGGTTTAAACAAAAGCAAAAATTCAAAGAACTTTATGAAGAAGGCTTTGGTGTATTTAACACAATATATTAAAATGAAGCAAAGCTTATTTATTAATATTTTCGATAAGCCACAAATATGTACATATACATGAGTCAAAATAAACAAACAAAAGGGAGCCTTCACAAAGGTTGCTTAGGGGAAGTCTCAGCAGTCGGTAGAGCCCCAGAAGAGAAAGCACCGGAGGGTGGTTATCCGGAGCCTCAGTACTTGACAAAACCCCAGAAGGATGAGGCATTGGAGTTTCATCATTTGAAGCTTCATTACCAGGTACAGCCCCAGAGGACGAAGGCAATAAATGCCTTTGGAACAAACCCACAAACCGCTGATGATCAAGTAAAACCTTACCATCAGATTCCTTCATCTGGTCAAGCTTCCTCTTCATGTTTGTAGCATAGTCATGGGCGAGCCGGTGCAACTGCTTATTCTCATGCTTGAGCCCTCTAATCTCCTGTTTGAGACTCATCACTTCAGCAGCCAATGATTCAACTTGGCGGGTTCTAGCAAATAGGCGTTGGGCCATATTAGACACAGAACCTGCACACTGAACACTAAGAGCCAGAGAGTCCTTAACAGCCAACTCATCAGACCGTTTGGAAAGTAGTCTGTTATCTTTGGGAGTGAGAAGGTTCCTGGCCACCACTGCAGCGGTCATATCATTCTTCATCACAGAATCCCCAACGGTAAGAGGACCAGTAAGGGATATGAAGGATGGGCGCCATATGTTGTCTGGAGAAGGCGTGGCTGTCTCTTCTCCAAGGTTCAGGTCAAAACGACGGTCGGAGGGTCCAGACATTTTCAAATGTGTTGAAGAGGGAAGAGGTCAGACAAATCAAGATCTTAGAAGTGCAAGAAATGAGCTTCTACTGGTAGAGATTCAAGTGTGCTGTGGAACTTAATGCCAGCCTCTATAAAAATCTGCACTCGACGGAGCTTCAGAAATCGAAGAGGCGTTTGCTTTCTCAAAAGCTGGGCTGCTCAGAGACCACGAGGGCCGATCTCAGAAATCGAAGAAGCACCTGCTTTTTCAGCCTCGTCAGCACCTGTCACATGCACACTCAGCTTTGCGGGAAATTACGGGCAATCTGTCGAAGATTTCTGGTGAAGTAGAAAGCACGTGAATCTTACTGTTCAATCACCGCTCTCCATATGCACCATCAACTCCTCGGGTACCACATATAACTTTATCAAAGATCTCTGACAAAGTTTAGGCACGAGAATTTCGAAGTTCCAGCTACCCTACTATTACCCATAAGGGTAAAGGAACAGCACCACTGCTTGACAACTGGAAAGTCCCTATGTGTGTCGACCTCCGTGTTTTGCGGCAAGACAGGTTGGCAAGAACGTCCAACCTTTACTCACATTCGAGAAAAGACTCCCAACATAATTACTTTCTCAAAAAACCGGAGTAGCACCGCTTTCCGAATCTCGAGATTCAGATCCTCGACGGGATTGCTTGTTCGAAAACCGAAGAGGCACAACTCTCAGAACTTCGAGAGCCAGATTTCCTTAGATAAAGCTTGTCTGTAATCTTCACACGTAACATCAGCTTTCCAGATACCACATACCACTTTTTCAAAGTGCTCTGACAAAATTAAAACACGTGAAGCTGGCAGCTCCCACTACATTGCTGTGACCAAGAAGGGTAAAGGAATAGCATTACTACTTGTTATTGGGAAATCCCTATATACATTGACCTCCCTCCTCAACGGACAGGCAAACCTGCAAAAATGCTCAACCCTTTCTCGCATTCGAAAAGGCACCCTCAACATAACCTCTCGAAATACTCAGCTTTATTTCCCCCCGATAATACCTCAGCAAATAAGCCACACCAAGAACAAGAGTATCTCATATCATCAGGGTCGAAAGCAAGAGTATCCCATATCATGCTTTCTCCCTATCTTTGTCTTTGTCCTTGTCCACACCTGCAGGACAAGGAGAAAGAGAGCAGTCAGTCGGAACCTGAAATCAAACCTCCAATTTGGAACTGACTGCCTGGAGCCTTTGCCTGGTTGCTTACTTAGCATTGCTCTCGAGTACTCATCCTCAACTGCTGTCAAGGTCACGAATTCCACCGGCAAATACCTCATGACAGTTGATCAGATATTGGCTCTTTACACTGAAGCTGCCAAGCGTGGATGAGTCACTATGAAGGAATGTTCTGAAGGACCATTTAAATGCAAAGGTTGCACACCACTTCTGCCATGCAAAAGATTGAAGCAGAAGGTTCAACGGTGAGCTGAAACAGATCACTACAGCACGACACCTTTCCATACCACATTCATTATTCCGTCAACAGCAAAAGTATCCCATATCATCAAGGTCGAACGTACTCTAGATTTGATGGACTTGTTTTGACCCTCAAATTTTTGAGTCGGCCTTATACTCTGAAGGGCACCAGAAAACCCTCCAGCACAGTTCAAGAATAAGCCTGTGGAAAGTTACTTCTTCAAAAGCAAAAGTATCTCATATCATCTCTTATCCATTTGCTTCTCCTTATCCTGGCAGTTGAATGAGAGACAAGGAGAAGGAGAACAATCAACCGGAAGCCGAAGTCAAACCTCTGATCCTGGGTTGCTTACTTGGAAGTTTGACTGCTTACCTTGTCTGTCACCTCTTTCGGCAGATCTCCTAGCTCGGCGACTTGGGGGACTCCTACTATAGGGTTTGTATCACACTTGACTAAGCCCGAAACTACAACTAAGCTTCAAGTGAAATTGATACATTACCTTGTGCGTCAACATCAGCTAAATACACCATTCCCGGATGGAGGAAAGGTACTTCCAGAGAAGGGCAGATGAAGATCAGACCACACTTCGGTACTTAGAAGTTTCGTGATTACTCAAGGGATTGGATCTTGCAAGTCCCCAACCGAGGAGTTTTCCTCACTCGGGAACTTAGGGGAGCACTGTTTGTACCATACTTGACCAATCCCGAAACTACCGAGCACCGGCCAACGCTATACTGTCAAGGACCCAGAAGAGTTCCCCTCCGACCAGGAGGCCAATCACTACTCGACACGTGTCAAGATTAGAAGCCAATCAGAGCGCAGCACGTGTCGACATCAAGAACCAATCATAACATGACACATGTCAATGTGACAAAGCTACAAGTTTTTCTATAAATAGGGGTCATTCCCCCACAATATTGCCTAATGTCATTTGTGTTAAATCATTCACAAGAACTCACTAAATTGAGAGCTTGATCCTTTGTACTTGTGTAAGCCCTTCACTACTAATAAGAACTCCTCTACTCCGTGGACGTAGCCAATCTGGGTGAACCACGTACATCCTGTGTTTGCTTCTCTGTCTCTATTCATTTACGTACTTATCCTCACTAGTGACCGAAGCAACCAAGCGAAGGTCATAAAACCTGACACTTTCTGTTGTACCAAAGTCTTCGCTGATTTTGTGCATCAACAGACATAAATAACAGAATTGGGTGCCTTCGAGTCAAGCCATTCAAGACACTCTGGTTCCTCTATCCATAGGTTCGATTCTATCGAATTCAACTCGTTATCCGCTGGGATTTGTTTGAGTTGTAGATTTAGGGGTCCAATGGAGTAAATAGGCGGCAACAGAGTCGAAAGTGCATCTACAACTTCATCTTCCAAGTCATGGAAAGTGTTCAAGATGACAGCAGAAGCTTTTTTAGTTCGCTCCGTTTCAGCCACCAGAAAGTTGAGCATGATGTCATTTGGGTCTGCTGTTCTCAAGAAGGTTGGCAAGTCCTTCAAACGGATATCTTTCATGCCCGGTATCCAATCGATCACTATATCTAAATGCCCGTTTGTAAAATAACTTTCATCTGCAAATATATATATATATATAGGAATTGCTTAAGGGGAGGGATCCCCATTTTTTCAAAAAAATGGGGACACGCTCCCCACCGTTGGATTTGAATTAAATGAAATCCTGTGGTTGAGATTCTATGGCCTGTGTTTTAATCTCAACCACACAATTTCATTAAAGTCAATCTAACGGTGGGGAGCGTGTCCCCATTTTTTCAAAAAAAATGGGGATCCCTCCCCTTAAGCTCCGTGTATATATATATACATATAAGAAAGTTGGCAACACATTTAATCAAGTATCAATAGAAAAGGACTCGGAAAGAAATAAACTAGTTGGGTTTTTCAGTATGAATTTTATCAGTGTTTCAGAGATGGTGCAGTAGCCCATTACTATATAATCCACATTGATATTATCTCCAACTTAATTACTTGCTCAACAAATTTTATTAATATATACCTTTAAATGGAGTGAGACCCTTTTCGATGAGACGGTGAAACTGAACGTAGCCCATGAAGCCACAAGCACTTGGTGTCCAGAAAAAAACTGCAGGAAGCCCCAATTCCTGGGCTGCATCAAGAGTGAAGCTCATGACACCATCACAAATTATGCATGTGATGGGAGGCGAATCGGGCGAAGAACTGAGCTTCTTCAAAAGGTTTCTAAAGTGAGGCAAGCAGTGTTTGCTAGTGGAATCACATAAGAGTGGTATGTCTTGGGTGGCATTGGCATCAGTTGCAGGGAGGCCATCGGGAATGGTCACAAATCGGAAGGTGGGGAGGCCGTCAAGAGAGTTGGAACCCCGGGATTTAAGGAGGCGTCTGTAGTTGTACTCTGTGTGCACAAATGTTATGTGAAACCCTTTGTAGTGGAGGACTTTGGCTAATTGCATCAGTGGGTTTATGTGTCCTTGCGACGGGAATGGTACAAGAACTGCATGTGGCTTCTGTCTCAAGGAAATTGAAGCCATATTTCTCTGTGTCTCTCTGGAATATCAAACACAAAGCTATGTGGAAATACGTACCTGAAAATTTATAGTGGTAGAGGTTCAACTAAAGAGCGTTGCTTTGGATGTCATTTATAATTTCTAACGGTCTTCCTACTCTTCCCATGTGTCCATGACGACTCATATTTTGGTGCTTGTGTCCTGCGATAATATCAGTGCCTCCCATTTCAATGTCAATTATTGTATATCTTAACCATTGCACAGACCAATTATATGATATTGTGAATATTTAAACAATAAACGAACTGTGTGGCACTGGACTTTTGGCTAGCAAATATTAAACGAATATAATTGCCCCGCATGCCCCAGGACATGAGGATATGTGAAATGTGTGGCTGGCTGCATATGCAATCGCCATATGACCAGAAAGTTTCAGAAGAAAAATGCTGCCCATGTTTCATGCCTAGATTATAAATTCTTTCGTTCGATATCACTAATGAAGATGCCAAGTTAAAGCCATGACCTTCAGTTTCTATTGTCATCGAAAAATGGATGGTGCACCACGTGTTGTTATATAAGTGGTGAAATTTTTTATTTTTTAAGTTATTATCTTTTAACACATATATCGTACCATTTGTATAGTGACATGTGGTGTACCACCCAGTGTTCCAATCACATTGAAAAATCTCTCCAACTGTAAGTCCTTGGCACGGAGAGATTTTTCAATGTGACTAGAACACGGGCCGGTACAACACATCACTATACAAATGGTGAGATATGTGTGTTAAAAAGTTAATAACTTAAAAAATACAATTTCCCACAACTTATATGAAAATACGTGGTATACCACTCGTGTTCTGGTCACAATAAAAATTTTCTCCTTGCCACGTTTGGGAGTGTTTGTTATTGAAGTGCTTAAATTAAATATAATAAATTTAAACAGGTTTAAGAAGAAGAATACGGACAAGTGCTTTTATAAAATCGCCTATTAATACCTCTCTTTAAGATATTTTTTTGTCAAGAAAAACGGTATCATTTTATTCAATATCAAAACTTTTACAATCTTCAAGTAGAACATCTTCAATTAAAGTATGGGAGTTCCTCAGACCAAAAGAGTTACAATATAAAGCCAGTTTAGCTAGTTTATGAGCTGCCATATTTGTAGATCGATGAACATGACAAACACTCGAGTCATCGAGTGAACATAGCCAAGATTTAGTATCATTCACCATACGGCTCAGTGGAGAATCATCATCCCTCAAACAAAAAGGAGAAGGCATGCTACAAGAGTACTTTTCAAGAGCTCACATGTCCTAGCACTACTCTTACCTAAACTCATTTAACTTTAGAGTTTTGATAGATCCTCTGAGTTGGTATGATCTTATCCTTAAAACAAATAATTTTTAAAAGCAAAAGAATCCACAAAATAAGGAAAGAACTCGGAAGATTAAATTTGTATACTAAGCATTAAGAAATTGAACAGTTCTGATTATGAAATTTCTATGATGAATATATGCAAGGAGGAAATAAACTCATCCTTGAAGGGGGAATGCCAATATTATTATTATTTTTTTTTTTTTGGAAGAGAGAACAAGTGCAAGTGGAGTCATAGAAGGGCAAATGATTGTATGTGAGTCCCCCTACCTGATTTTCCAAGCTTCAGGTAATAACTCATTTCACAATTGTTCACTCTTATCTCTTGATCTTGCTTAAGCCAAGAAAGTACATAATTCAAAAAACAACATATCAATACACAATTCACATGCACCAACATAAGCTAACATGTCTCAATTCCATTTGCACAGTGCATGTATATCCCCAAAATAACCAGATCCATATTTAATCACATGAATCGTAGTTTAATCTTCCTTTCCATGAAACCCATTCAGGAGCCATATATCAAACGCCATCCAAAAACTACCACACAATTGAATTCTATAACTCCAAATCAAGTAAAATTTTACCTCAATCCTCCTCGGTAATACTGTTTGACCAGCCTTGAGACTTCCAAAACTCTCAATTCAACCATATAGCACTTCAAACATGAATTTTTCAAAGTTATTAACATGAAATCCCCAACCAAAATATAATTTCGAATCTGCAAATAAGCTTTGAATTCTTACCTTCATCCGTAGTGCTCGATGTTCTGATCATAGAGGCGAAAACAGACTGTAGTTTTGATGTCTAGAACTTAACTTATGCATTTTTTTCTTTCTTTGACACCGAAAGAGAACCCATAGCTGTTTCTTCCCTTTTACCCATTTTGGAAACAATGCATTGAACACCAAAAGATGAAGGACCATCTTACAAACACGTGTTCTCCGTTTCTTTTTTTCTTTTTTTTACATACTCACTTTATCCCAAACAAACCTTTTCAAGCTCCAGAAAACTAAATATGTATGTCTGGGGTTTTACATTCCACCCACCTTAAAATAAATTTCGTCCTCAAAATTTGCAGAGTCATTCGAACAAGTGGGAATACTTATGCTTCATTTCTGATTCTAACTCCCATGTAGGTTCTTCAACTCTGTGATTCTGCCATTTTACTTTGACAAGTGGTACAGTTCGATTTCGGAGCTTCTTTATTTCTCGATCAAGAATACAAATTGGACCTTCAATATATGTTCCGTTTGGCTCCAACGGCAAGTCCACCCAGGGCTTAATATGCTGAATTTCTGGAGCACTTTTCTTCAATTGGGAGACATGAAATACATTATGAATATGACCAAGTTGAGGTGGCAGCTCCAATTTATAAGCAGCATTCCCTACTCTTCCAATTATCTTGAAGGGGCCAACATATCTAGGTGCCAATTTTCCTATCATTCCAAATCTATGAATCCCTTTTCGAGGGCTCACCTTCAAAAATACAAAATCACCATAATGAAATTCTAATGGTCTTCTTCTCCTATCTGCATAAGACTTCTGCCTACTATGTGCAGTCTTGAGTCGATCATGAATAAGCTTAACCTTCTTAGTTGTTTCCTTTATGATCTATGGACCCAAAACTATTCGATCTTCTGTATCAACCCAAAAAATCGGTGATCGACGAGGTCTTCCATATAGAGCCTCGTAGGGTGCCATACCAATACTACTTTGGTAATTGTTATTGTAGAAAAATTCAGCAAGTGGAAGATGTACACTCCATTTTCCTCCAAAATCCAAAATATAAGCTCTCAACATATCTTCCAGAATTTGGATGACCCGTTCTGACTATCCATCAGTTAATGGATGGTATGCCGTGCTCAAATTGAGTACTGTACCCAGTTCCTCTTGTAACTTTTCCCAAAGACGTGAAGTAAATCGAGGGTCAATCAGAAACTATTGTTTTAGGGATTCCATGCAATCGAATAATCCACTCAATGTAGAGCTTAGCAAAATAATCAATAGGCGAATTCATCCTCATAGGCAAGAAATAAGCACTCTTCGTAAGTCGATCCACAACCACCCAAACTTCATTATACCCTTTATTTGAGCTCAGTAGATCAGTAATAAAGTCCATCGTAATGCTCTCCCACTTTCATTTTGGAATAGCCAATTGTTGTAGCATACCAGATGGTTTTTGGTGTTCAATCTTCACTTGTTGGCATATTGAGCATTTATTAACATAATTGGCTACCTCTCACTTTATCCCTTTTCCACCAGTAACTTATCTTCAAATCTCGGTACATCTTATTGCTTCCTGGATGCATTGCAAATTGAGTATTGTGAGCTTCCTTCAGTACTCGTTCTCTTACTCTCTTATCTTTAGGCACAACCATTCTTTCTTTATATCTTAGGCCACCATCTTCATAAACTTTCCACTCTTCTGATACTTTTCTGGATATTATCTTTTGCTTTAACAACTCTATTTCTAGATCATCCTTCTGTTTAGCAATCAGTTCTTGTTCTAATTGAGGCACCAATTGAAGATTAGTCAAAACACTTTCCCCCAAAACCTCAATGTCATATGCTTCAATAGTTCCAAACATGTCATTTTCAGCCAACATTAAACTTGACAATGTACTTCTTGTTTTCCTACTCAACGCATCAGCCACTACATTGGCCTTTCTAGGATGATACAACAATTCGAAGTCATAATCTTTTATATACTCCAACCATCGCCTTTGCCTTAAGTTCATGTCACGTTGAGTAAACAAGTATTTGAGGCTTTTGTGATCTAAATAAACATAAAATTTACTACCGTATAAATAACATCGCCAATTCTTTAATGCATGAACTATAGCAGCTAACTCTAGATCATGAGTAGGATAATGCTTCTCATGTGTTTTCAACTATCTCGAAGCATAAGCAACTACCCTTCCATTTTGCATCAGCATAGCTCCTAATCCTTTTCCCGACGCATCTGTGAATATTTCATACGGATCATTACTATTTGGCAACACCAGTATTGGAGTAGTAGTTAACCTTGTCTTAAGTTCTTTGAATGCAGATTCACAATCTTCACTTCATGCAAACTTTACCCATTTTTTCATCAAACAAGTCAATGGAGTTGCAATCTTGGAGAAGTCCTTTACAAACCTTCAATAATATCCGGCTAACCTAAGAAAACTTCGAATCTCAAAGACATTTTTAGGTTTTTCCCAATTCAACACCGCTTCTATTTTACTTGGATCAACATAAACTCCTTCTCCAAAAATTACATGCCCAAGAAAATGCACTTCACTTAACCAAAAAGCACACTTTGACTTCTTTGCATAGAGTTGGTTATCTAGTAAAGTTTACAGAACTATCCGCAAATGAGTCTCATGTTCATCTCGAATCTTAGAATACACAAGAATGTCGTTGATGAAAACAATCACAAACTTATCCAAGTAAGGTTGAAACAGACGATTCATAAGGTCCATGAATGCAGTAAGTGCGTTCGTCAATCCAAACAGTATAACAACGAATTCATAAAGACCATAGCGAGTGCGGAAAGCTGTTTTAGGAATATCTTCTTCTTGAACCCTTAACTTATGATAACCAGACCTTAAGTCCATCTTTGAGAAGTACCGTGCCCCAACAAGTTGATCAAACAATTCGTCAATCTTTGGCAAAGGATACTTGTTCTTTATTGTCACCAAATTCAACCTACGATAATCAACGCATAATCTCAAGGTCCCATCTTGTTTCCTTACAAATAGAACCGGTACTCCCCAAGTTGAAGTACTTTCTCTTACAAATCATTTCTGAACTAACTCTTCTAATTGCATCTTAAGTTCCTTCAATTCCATCGGTGACATCTTATATGCTGGCTTAGATATGGGTTCAGTTCCTGGTACCAAATCAATTATAAACTCCACTTCT